TTTTGAGGAGAGGCTGTCCTTATTGGTGACAATGAGGAAAATGCCTACTTCTATGCTTTTCCCATTAACCTGATAATTAAGACCTGACTGTATGCAGGTACTGGAAAATGAAGCCAACATTTTTATTACCCTAGTAGCATCTGGCAAGTGGCTATTAACAAAACTGTACTATGTATACATGTGAAAAGCAACATATGTTACAGAGACAGTCATATGTAATTAAAAGTTTAAGAGCTGAAACATGTTCCCAATAACACAGGCTTCAGGGTTAAAAGGTGAATTCCAGAATGCTGAAGAGGCTGCCCCCTCTCAAGGATGTATCAGAGTAGACAATTTATTACACTCAGCAGTGCCTCATTAGAGACTCTGCATAAATAATCTTATGGACAATATACCATGAAGTATATATTTGCTGTTGTAATAAAGTCAAAAGGATTAAATAGATAAGAAAGGTGTAGTAACCTGGAAATAATCTGACTTATATTTTTCATAATATATATCTACAAGGGATTCCTTAGTGGTTAGATATTCAACTCCAGAAAGAGGCCAGATTTTACTATCTTTAAAAAACACATTCACATCCAGATGATTGTATCCTTATAAATAAATCTCTCAGGTATGTAGGCCATATATTAACCTGATTAAAAAGAGAGGGAATTGAATGAAGCCCAGCATGGAAACATTGTAATATAGAAAGTTTGGCTACTTAGGGACACTATTACCTATTCGCTGAGAGGCAAGTTACTGAAGCTCTCTAAGCCTCAGGTAACTTATTTGTAAATTGGGATAATATTAGTACATTGGGTGGTGGAATAATTTACAAGCAAAACACTATAAGAATAATGCCTATCACACTGGAAGCACTAAAAAAGGTTATCATTATTTGGGCTGGCAAACTGTCAGTTGGTTATGAGTTTGGAGTCATAAACTATCCTGACCTCTATAGATATACAGTTGATTCTTGAACAACACGGATTTGAACTGTATGGGTCCACTTATACATGGATTTTTTTCAATAAGTACTATAAATGTATTTTCTCTCCCTTATGATTTTCTTACATTTTTTCTCTAGTTTTATTGTGGGAATACACAGTATATAATACATATAATGTACAAAATACATGTTAACCAACAGTGTAATTGGTAAGGCTTCCAGTCAGCAGTAGGCTATTTATTAGTAATTAAGTTCCTGGGAAGTCAAAAGTTATATGTGGATTTTTGACTATGTGGGGGGGTCAGCGCCTCTCAATTTTGCCTTGTTCAAGGGTCAACTGTCTTTTCTTTTTTTGTTAGTTTTTACTACCATATCCTGGAAACCTCCTCAGTTTGACTTTTTGTGACTCGTGGAGTTGTACATATTCGTCTCTAATCTGAGGCCGAATTAACTCTGCCCTGGCATGTGTTCTTTCTCATTATTATTATTATTTTTTAAGATTTTTATTGGGGAATTGGGGGGATGGGAACAGTGCTGGGGAATTGGGTGAAGGGGAACAGATGAGTTGCTGTCCTTTTGTTCTTCAGTCTAGTTGTGGAGGACGTTGCTTCACTGGCTCAAGTTGGCACCATTATTGCGCTCTTCCCGGGCGAGGCAGATCAGTCGCCGGCTTCTGGATGGCCACTCACTGCAGCTGCTGGCTGCTCCCGCTGGCTGCTGGCCACACACGATAGCCCATGGCAACCCACTGCCACAGGGGCTGCAGCCTACACCGTCGTCAGCGACTCACGGCAGCCCAGCTCCAGGTTGAGCTGTTGTTCAGCATCTTAGCTGTGGAGGGCAGTGTCACTGGCCCTCATATGTGGGATCCGAACCGGGCCCTCTGGCGTCCCAAGCCAGTTCTTAACCATCACGCCACTCGGCTGGCCCTCTTTCTCATTATCTTTAACTCTTAACAGGGGTACATTTATCTATTTGTCTGAGCAGACCCAACTTTATTACAGTACTGAGAATTATGCCATTTTCCATTCTGTACCCCCAACCCTAACACCTGCAGGAAAAGCATGCTATAGTGGGGTTTGTAGAATTTGGGGAAAAGTCTTAAAATTTGATTAAAGAGCTTTGCTATTCTTTCTGTCGCTACACATTTCCATATCGTTGTTTTTTTTTAAAGATTTTTATTGGGGAATTGGGGGATGGGAACAGTGCTGGGGAATTGGGGGAAGGGGAACAGACAAGTTGCTGTCCTTTTGTTCTTCAGTCTAGTTGTGGAGGACGTTGCTTCACTGGCCCAAGTTGGCACCATTATTGCGCTCTTCCCGGGCGAGGCAGATCAGTCGCCGGCTTCTGGATGGCCACTCACTGCAGCTGCTGGCTGCTCCCGCTGGCTGCTGGCCACACACGGTAGCCCATGGCAACCCACTGCAGCAGGGGCTGCAGCTTACGCCGGCGCCAGTGACTCATGGCAGCCCAGCTCCAGGTTGAGCTGTTGTTCAGCATCTTAGCTGTGGAGGGCAGTGTCACTGGCTCTCATATGTGGGATCCGAACCGGGTCCCTCTGGCGTCCCAAGCCAGCTCTTAACCATCACGACACTCGGCCGGCCCTCAAGTCTTATATTCTTAAAATGAGGAAGTTGGATTTGATGATCTCCAAGATTCCTTCCTTCCAGACCTAAAATTTCAAGCTACAGTCAACATTCAGTTTACTTTAAGGAACAATTAGTACCTACTATTTGAAAGCAGTGTTGTAGGTACTAGAGACATAAAGATAAATGTAACAAGTTTCCTGCCCTCAAAGGTATATAATCTTGTGGATTATTAAAATGATAAGGTAGTATTTGCAAAATATTATGTTGTCATTACATTATAACTATTTTATTATTCATAAAAAGTGGGGGCAGTGAGGTTTAGCAAAATAAGAATGAGCTTTGCCTCTCAATCTTCAGACTGCAGCTGACCCACTACAAAAATCTGTGTAAATTACTCTCTAAGTCTGTTTTTTATTTTAAAAACAATCATACTGACCCAACTGAAAATGATGCTGAGAAATAATGAAGGCTGTACATTCTGTACTTTTTTAGGGACACCTTGTGCTAGAAGAGTGCTGGGTGCTAGGGGCAAAGCAGCTGGAAGGTCCTTCGTGTAGCTTAACCATTACATACATTATTACAAAGTTTGCTGCAAATGAATTCATATAGCAAATGGCTACCTAACACAAATTAATTGTGGACTTAGTTGAATTTAGTGGTGTCAAGAAGCAAGCCCATTTCTGTACAAAGTAACAACTGTGTCTTAGTCCCTGAAGTACCATAAGCATTAAAAAAAACCATACAAATATTATGTATACAAAATATTATGAACTTGTATAAACTATATATAATCTATTATTTCCTAGATGTAGAATAAGTTGAAAACATAAATGGGATAAAGAATGCAGGAGCACCTTTTCTGCTGATAGTAAGGATGGATGTTCTTACAATCAAATTTGCCCAAACAAGGAATGGCCTATCTCAGAGTACAGAGATAACTACTCATCTCTGTGGGGCCCAGATGATGCTTTGTCAGGTTAAAGGTCACCAATATGAATGAGATTCTTGTCTTGAAAAATAACCTGAAGTGGATACATTCAGGTTCAATTCTGAGATTATGTAATTAGATGATGTGATTCATAAATGTTTGAATGATAGAAATATAATAGATTATATTTTATAAATTATAAGGATGTGATTTTTTTAAACGAAACATTAGGGATTAAGAGGGATGGAGTATATATCACAACAGGAGTGGTGTGGGACATGGGAACAGGTTTGATTCCGTTGTCTGAAATATCTTGTTTTGGGCATAACATTTACGGGTATGCCCTGATTGAAACCTAGATTTAGGAACCCTGAAACTCCGATCCTTGGCTGTAGAAATCTAAAACCAAACGATTGATATTTTATTACCAGTTTGTGGTGTCATCCATTCTCTGAGGTGGGGTGGATGGAATGGTTTGGTGCCGTCCTGGTCATGGCCTTAGGATGCGTGGATGTGGTGCACGTGTGCTGTGGTTGGGGTAGGAAGGAGCGATCCTCCATCAATATCTCAAAATAACATTACTCACTACAGTAATGTAGTGAGTGTGATGAGTTGGTTTGAAAGCACTAGAAAACACTAGTCGAAACTCATGAAAATAGTGCTAATTCTTAGTAAACTCAATGGTCAGAATTCACCTAAATTAACGCCTTCCTCTATCAAATAACAGCCAATTTTGTTTTCTGGACCGCCTCCCAGCGTCAATGACTTAGGTTCTCTTAGCTTACGTTAGTTGTCTTTAGAGGACTGGTGACCTGCCTATGTGCCAGACTGAGCCCGAAACTTAGAGCATGGCTCTGGGTTCCCTGTTTGCGGACTGAAGCATACAGATGTTGTGCATGACGGACAATGCCTGTAGCATTCGAAGCTTTCAGAACAGACATTTATGACGAAGGGGGTATGTGTGTTAACTCCAGAAAAGAAGTGCATTTCGAAAACGGGAAGAGAATGGATTGTTGTAAAAGAAATGGGAATTTGTTCTTCACCAGAGGGTTTGCAGGAAATGAAGACCCGGCAAGTCTTTATTTAGTTTCCAGCTGTAGAAAACAGCAAGAGAAGTCCCAGTTCAAGTTCGGCGCGGACTGGGCTCCTTCAGAGAGCCACTCTGAGGTGTGCGAGATAAGTGGGCGATCCGGACGCGCTGAGCCATGCGCGAGGAATGGGCTGCCTCCTCTGTTCGGTGTAGCGGCATAAAAGCTGCCCGGACTGCGCTTCCCCTTCCCGGTTTTTCGGGGAACACTTCGCGTGCTTTGTTTCAGACGCCGACCCATCTTTATCGGTTGGTCGGCAGCTCCACCAATCCCGTCCGCGACGGGGCGGAGCTTCAGGGTCAAGGTGGACCAATTCCCGGGCCTCGCCCCTACACGCGCTTTCGGACCCCCGGGGATGAGTGACAGCAGCGGAGTCCAACCTCCTACTCCAGAGCGTGGCCTCCGTCAGGGGCGTTACAGAGACAGGGTGCCGGGGCCAATCGCATTGGATCTTAGGGGGCGGGGCCTCTTTGTCAGCCCCAGACCGGCGCTCATCGCACGCCCTTTGTCAAATGAGAGATGCGGAGGGGCTGTTCCTCAGCCGAGGTTTAACCAATGGAGGAGGCGAGATGGGCGGGCCGGGAATGCCTGGCCGCGGGTCCTCAGCTCCCAGCCGAGGTGCGGCGAGCTGGTGGGGGTACCGCGAGGCGAGCGCGGGATCCTGGGCAGCGAGTGGGGTGTGAGCTGCCTGAAAATGCACTCGGATGCTGCCGCTGTCAGTGAGTAACAGAGAGCGAGCGGGTCGGGGGCGGACGGCTGCCAACACTCTCCACTCGGGTCTCTCAGTCCCTGC